TATATATATATATATATATATATATATATAAAATTAAAGCAAGCTCTAATAAGTAGCAAGGAGCAAAAATGAATGAGAAAGAATTTACACCTTTAAGTCACCTGATCTGGAGCAGCAATTCAAATCCAATCTCCCTGGAGCAGAAAATTCAGCTTATTGACTTAGTGAGCTTTCTACCTTTCTTCAGGTAGAAGACTTACCAACTCCTGATAAGTCACTGTCATTGTCAAGCAGAGCTCTAGCTGCAATGCTGAAGTCCCCTTGGTGCTTTTCTCAAAGGGAGTCACACATTAGCTGTACATTTTAACTGTGCCTGCCCCCTGATGGCCAGCAGACACCAGATTCTGTTTTTTCCAATCTATTTCAACATTGGAAGCAAACTTAAGACTGGGCTGGGGACACAAATGTTTTGTGCTACTTTCTAGCTCACTTCTAGTGACTAAGGTTCAGTTTATCTAAAAAAAATGCATGAAGTCTGGGTTAATATTATCCCTTCTTACAAGGGAACAAGCATGTATGTCTAGTGCTGTACTTTACCTGTGCTCTTGGGAATGAGTGTAGGGATGAGAGGAGAAAACTCAGTTGTTCCTGTGTTCATGCACTGTAGCAGAGATGTGGGAGTACTCAAAAGTAAAGCTGCTAGCCACTGATTTTATTTACATGTATTCTGAAGCTCTACAATGTAATACAGCCTTAAGTCTTCCTAGGAAAACAAAAATATCTCCTTAGGCTGGATTTTTATAAACATTAACTGTGTTCTGTCTGCTTCATCTTCAAGCTGACTGCAGCTACAGAAGGAGGTACAGTCATTAAATCACCACAGCCTCTGAGCAGAAGGCAGAACAGGCTTCCCCCTCTAGCAGAAGCTCAAGGCAGCAAGATAAAGGAGAAATGTCCTGATTTGACTCAGGATCAGCAACAACAATGCTCTCAATCCCCTTCCCCTGACCCAGGTGGAGAAAAGAAAGAAATAATAAAGGAGACTTTTGGGATTGAAAACTAAACTTGACAGCTTTAATTAAGTACTAATGATAAATGAAAATATGTACAATTATATACAAATGCATTCAGGAATGTGCAAACCCCTGTTGCCTCCCCCCACCACCAGCAACACCCCTGGCACCTCCTGAGCTGTGAGCAGTCCCAAAATGTCCCGGAGCAGCCGGAGAGAGCGGCAGAGCAGACAGGAGCTGAGGGGAGAGTGATGAGGGTCAGGAATGGACGAGCCTGGGGACCTTACACCACACAACAGACTGTTTTCTCTGTCAGCACAGATATACGATAAATTGAATAGTATCTACCACATTGTGGTGAACAAATACTTTTTCACAGTTCACATTGGATTTGCATTTTTCTTTTGAAGCTACCAAGTTTCCAGAAGCAGGCCTCTGGCCAACTGATTGTTTGGGTAGTTTTGTTTTAAACAAAGAGCAATTAGAACATCTGTCTCTATGGGAATTCTTTTATTGTACCACAAAAAACAGTCTGTTTTCCTATGTGACTTTCAAAATTATGTTTCCAAGGGAAGAAAACAGATAAAAAATTCAGCTTCAAAATAAAATCCCATGATAAAAGGATAAGCAATTTCACATCATGCTACAGTCAAGTAGTTAGTTAGCAATTAACAATGACAACTGAAAATTTTTGAAATCTCATACTAAATGCAGTTGTCTAAAAGCAATTATCAGGTAGGTACAGGCTGACTCACAATCATCTGTCTTCATTTAAAAGCCTTGAGGAGTCTCGTTTGGTGGGAAAATGCTTGTCTTGGATATTGTAGCAAACCTCTGCAAAGAACTATGAAAAAAAGTTGCCAGAAATCACAAAGGCACATTCACAGAAGAAAAAAAAAAAAAAAAAAGAAAGAAAAAAAAGGCAGCATAACACCATGCAAACCAATGTACTTATCTGTAGTACTGCAAATCCTAGAGTCATCAGTGCTTTTTATTTCAAAGCATATGAAATTAGGAAGTTGAAAAAACAAAAAAACAAAACAAAACAAAAACCCACCACACTTTCAACATATTTTCTTTATTATTTCTTCCCTCCCCAGAAGTGTTCAAGGCCAGGCTGGATGGGGCTTTGGACAACCTGATCTAGTGGAAGGGGTCCTTGCTCATGCAGGAGGTTTGGAACTAGATGATCTTTAAGGTCCCTTCCAACCCAAATCATTCTATGATTTCCAAAGAAGCCTGATTCACATCTCCTAGAACAGTAGTACCCCATCTCACAGATCAATTCTGTTCTCAGTTTTCCTGGTGACATCTCAGAAGAATTCTCTAGTCAGTAGAGGCTGTGGGAAAAGATACAGCTGTGAACTTCACAGCCAGGAGAATAAGACACTACTCATAAGGAGTCTTGCTAGATATTCTCAAGGGAAAATGTACCAGGAAATGCTACTACAAATCTGTCACTTCAAACATATGCTGTACTCCTGGACCTTGCTTTCTCTCCCATCAATACAGCCCAGCGAAGAGTATATTCTACAGTATACACACTTCTGAGAACCAACTGAGAGAAATTCAGTGACTGATGCTATCCCCAGTAATAATCTAAGAACCTACTTAACTTCAGAAAAGAAAAAAAAGAAAAATGAAAAACAAACAACAGGTAGGATTTATATTTGCATTCATATTATGCTCTTCAAGGCTGGAGAGTGAAAACTCTTGCCACTTCAGACCATCTTTAAAAGGAAGCAGCATGTCATTTTCTCATGGTGATGTGCACAGAACAATGGATTGGGGTCTGGAAATACCAAGCTACTCCCAAGCAGGTTGAAATAGCCGCATGCCTCTATTTTTTTCTTCCAGAAGCGCAGGATGTTATTCCTTGCCATTAGTACCTGGTTATGTCCCAGAACTGACCATTTTCCACTTTCGCCAGGATACTCAGCCCAAGCACAGTCCCTTAATAGATTCTCAGTAATTTCTGTGCCTGTAGTTAGCACAGATGAGACGAGAAACGAGAACATTTGGTTCCTCAAGTAGCAGCACAGTCTAGAAAACTCCAGTTTGCAAGAAATCTGAAAGATTTTCAGTTTCCTTGACCATTTCAAGAGATTAATTTTAAAAACAACCCACAGAATTAGTCAACATATGTCTAAAAAGTGACAGATTCTATTCCATTTGCTGAACACATTTGGCATCACCTGTTGAGCTTAAAAACATTCAGTGTCGCAAGGAGTTTTAAATATACCTGTAATGCCATGTATTTCCCCAGCCCCTTCAAGAAGCAAGGACAAGGCATGTTGCTCGGGAGGGGACCCCAAAGCTTGCACAGTGCAGATTCTAGCAGTGATGAGCAAGTAAGACAGTCACAGAGAGGCAACAAGAAGAACAGAACTACTAGGAAAACGCTGACAACAGAAACAGATCTTTAATTTATCAATTGCAGTTTCAAATTCAGGAAATGGACTTCACAGGTGATTCTTCAGCAGATATGACATTTACGTGGGCCATGACTATTTAATAGTCTACTACATTATTCATTTCTCATATCTGTGTGAGACTAACACAACAAATTGTGTCACTGTCCAAAACACAGAACAGAAACAGAGCTGCACAGTTTTTCTTGCAGGGTGAAATTTGTGGAAGGGATGAGCAGCTTTTATGCCTTAAAGAAAACATTTACTTTGTAATATAAATACTTTGTGTTTAAAAACCCCCACATTTAAGAATTACCTTCTTTGTGTTATTTTAATAAGTGCATCTTAGCTGTTTTTTGCTGCAGAATTGTTCAAACTTAGGGGGAACAAATACACTTCAGAATAAGATGCCTTTCTCCTGCGTGGCATTTGATAGCGCACGTTTTTCCAGAATCTTGTATTTGCTGAATAAGATTTCTCTGAGAAGTCCCCATTCCATTGTATAGCTCCGTGTTTTTGCTTGACATATTTGATTGATTCTGGCATGCCTGTGTAGTCCAGTATTTCATCCATTTCTATAAGAATCACTTGAATCCCATCACGGATGAGAGCATTATACATAGCTAGCTGCTGTTCAGAGGTGTCTTGTAAAAGGGAGCAACCAGAAGTTTCTGATCCCAAAATTATCATCAACCTCCTGCTTTGCTTAAGGGTTTCATCAGCAACACTGACCACAGCTGTAAGTAATACAGGAACAATCAAAGTTTGCATAGAAACTTTACAACTGATATAAAATATTTCTTAATCTTAAAATTGCATATATATGGAGCAGTGGCTAGCTGGGAGGATGGGTGGGTTTAAGTTCTCCCAACTGTCATTCATGATTCATGATCCACTGCATGAAATTAATAACAAAAACTGTTTTCTTCAGTCAGGAGCAGATATTGTTCTAAGAACCTCAACGATCTTTTTAATGCTGCTGAATCCTCATTTGTTCATCACTTAAAAGAAAGTGCAGACCCTCGTAACAGTAGACAAGAATTTTTGGTAAGAAAAAACTAATTAAAGAATGTCAATTGGACAAAGGGACAAATTACCCATTAAGAATAACAAATATATAGCTTTGTTTTCCAAAAATAGGTATTTTATAATTGTATATATCATCTTCTTGCCGGAGAAAAACTTGTCAAAAGACTCTACTAATTAAAGTATACCTTCTCCTGGTAAATCATCCCTTCCTAATATGAAGAGATTATATCCATACTGTTGTTCTAAAACATCAGGCAGTATTCTATGAACAAAGGTTTCCAGATGATAAAAGCTTCTGCCTCCACTGCTTTTTACATATAGGACATAGGCATCATAGATTTTCCCATCTAAAACAAACAGAAATGTTTTCATTAAAAAACTAAAAAAAAACCTAAAACCAACAACACACCTTTATTGCAAGGATTCATTTTGGACTATTTAAACATAGCAGTGACAGGCTTATTTACCAATCTGACAGAATGACATCAAAGCACTAAAATGTTCTCCAAATCAAGAGAGAGATGATCAGCCACAAAACCTGACCTCTTTTCCCATCATGGGGATGGATGTGACAGCGTTAAAGTGTTCTGGGAAAACTGAACTTTTAACCAGAAGTTGAAATTATTTTTCTGTGAGAAAATTTAGAACACCCAAGAGTAAGTGTTAACTATCTCAGTGTGCACAATCCATTTATTTTCAAGCTATAGGGAGCATCAGTCAGTCAATTTCTGAGGGCTGACAAGCAAAATATCTATAATGTTGCACTTTTTCCCATTTTTTCACACCTGTCCAATGTATTTGTCTTATACCTCAGCAATAAAAACACATAAAAAGAATCATAGAATGGAGAACTAGTAGCATTTTTTCTCTTTGGCATGTAACCACCATAACACAGAATTCAGAAGCACTGGGTTAGGTAAAAAAGAAAAGCTGGGAAAAAAAATAAAAAAAAAAGACAAAAAGAAAAAAATAGTCTCTGAAAAAAAAGAGTCTGATTTTCAATATAAATATTTAATGTATGCCTTTAAACAGCTAGTTTACAGGATGTAGCTCTGCTGACACCTATTGATCATCAGAGTGATCATAAATCTACATGTAAAGAAACCACAGAAAAGCAAAAAGCAACATGACAATTGGGGGGAAACCTGGTGTTCTTTTTGACCTATCTTACAATGATTGCCTTCAATATTATGCAGTCTTTGCTACCTCAGCTATGATTATACACTATACCTATATGACTGAAAAAAATACCCCCCAAAATGTCTTTATGAGTATCTGAAAATTCCTCAAGAAAATTCCACACACGTTCTACTAAATAATCACTTTATTGCTTAGAAGTGATGTCAAGTGAAAAAATAAATGGGCTAGTTACACTAACATACCTGGTCACACTCACATACCTTCCGTACTGGCAAAGGCACAGACAGAATTACGGTACCAAAGCACCAAGTCAATCTTGAAAATCTTGTAGATGATTAAAATAATAGATGTTAAAATTAACACGGAGACAAGCCCTCCAGTCAGCCATCCTCGTGTATCAAGAGCTGCACAAAAATAAATTTTTTGTTTTATACCAAAGTTGTCCAAATCAGATATTTTACACAAATTTAATACCATTTTGAGTATAATTTTTCACTTCAATCTACATGTTATTTTAATAATTGTAAATACAGTACTATAGTGACTTCTCCCCTATGCACAGGTACATACATACACAGAGTAAAATGCAATCCATCTGCTTTCTATTAACATGATATGAGTATTTGGTACCAAAAACCTTTCCAGGGAAGTCAAGGAAAACACAGGCCCCCAAAATAACAGCATTTCTTACCTCTGCGCTTTAATATAATATATGATGCAACATGCCCAAAGGCATTTGAAGCTTGACAGAGAAACTGTTGATCATAATCCTCAGTAGTCACTTCTGAAATTATTAGCTTCACAGAATACATTGGGCGCCCATCATAAGAAATTTCCTCCCTGTCCAAAAGACAACAAATGGAGCCATAAAACCACAGACATCATCACTAGCAGTTGCAGCACAACACTGGTAGTTTTCATCTGCAAACATAAACCATACTTCAGAATAGATAAGCAATAGCATTATGCATAGGCAAACTAAATAACAGTTGGATCCCTTACTGACATTTAGCACAGATACTGGAAAACAGAAAGATGTTACCTTGAGCTGATTTTCCCCAAAGGAATATAAGGTTTCTACAGGCTAAAGTACAAAAATACACCTTACAAACCGAGGCAAACCCTTGTTACAGGCTTCCCAGCCCCTGTAGGAATGGCTGGACAACCACAGTGCTTGGTGAAAGAGAAATTCCACTATATGAAATGTCACAGAAACAGGCCATAGTACAAGGGTGTCATTTTGTGATAAGCAGCTCTGGGACAGCAAAGACATCAAAGTTGGTGACCCGCTACAGACAACACCAACTCAGTGTGATTGGAGCTGGAGGGAGGGGACTACAAACTGCTGCTTCACCCCCAAAACAGACTTGTAACAGCTTAAGCATCAGCCTGCATCATTAAGAGAGACAGATTATCCCCCACACATTGTACAAGGGCACAAAAATGTTCATTATGCTGCACTTTCAGTTAGCCCTGTATCATGGTGTGAGAATGATGTGTGAACTAAACAACTTGTTAACCACCAGCAAAACAAGGGACACCACTACCTTGCTAACAGGAAATCTCAAATGCAAAATTAACTAACTAGTGTACATAACCAAGCACTATTCTTTCCTGAAAATTTATTCTAGTTAACATTTAAAATGCAAAATAAGTCTGAAATATATCATAAAGGGCACGTATACGACCACACAGATAACCGAGCAAAAAGTTACAGTAATTTGAACACTGAAAGAAGAAATGAATGAATCAACATCACTAATGCAAATTACTAATGTTTGCAAAGATGACCATTTAAGTGCTAGGAAGTGCCAAAAGTAACATAGCTTTTGTGAAATCAATTCAGTGACCTTGTGCTTCTGCATTATGGCTCAATTGTTTATGGCATTAAAATATATTAATTTTGCCCATGGTTTTCTCTTGGTGAGCACTCAAATAATTCAGCATTTTATTCCCCCCTGTTTTATGATGACTTATTTCTCACAACTATATGGTTACTTTGAAAATATCATTATAATCTCCTCATCAGTTTCATAGATAATGCTTAAGAATTTACCAAAATGATGAAATTTTTTCTTCATAGCACCACCATCAGGGCTGACAAAAACCCTACTATTTTTAGTTTCAAACCTGTCATATTTAAGAAACTTCCAGATTGCCTCCTGTTCCAATTTTAGTTGCCTTTTCAAGTTAGATCAAATTTCTTCTCTCCTGACTCCATTTAACCTGCTTCTCACCCTCACATTCTCTCCCAGAGGCTCTTCTCATGCTTTTGTCAATCCAAGTCCATTTTCCTCCCAAATTCCAATTCATTACTGGAAATTTCTCTCCCTTTTCACCTCCTATCCCAATAATCTTCAGTACAAATGTCTTGAACAAAGCCTTCCATTAGCTCTTCATATGATCTCAGTAACATTTTTCTAACTCAAGGCCCTTAAATCTAGAACCTTCAATCTCTCTTGTAAAGCACAGGTTTGACCTCTTGCAACCTTTCAGACAGGCAGGTGAGAAGGGAAAGGACAATGCAGAAGAGACAGGCTGAAGATCGTGTGCCTGGACATGCTTGATGCAACTGAAAGAGGTTTCTGGCAGACCAGAGCCTGCTCAGTAGAAACTGTATTACCATTATGAGACTGTAAGTCTACAGAACACCTTTTCCCAATGTTGGAAATCAAGACAAATTTTTTCAATTACCAAAAAGAGTATAATGACATGTGAAGTCCATGTGACAACAATGCATCAAGTTTCTACTTCAAAGCAGAAAGTGAACTGGAGGAGGCAAGCATGAGAGTTTTTAAAAAGAAGGCTAATTAAGCAAGTGAAAAATTACACTAAGTTTAACATCAAAGGGAGAAAGTTCCACTTTGGTTGCCAACATGGTATTTTCTAATCTGAAAATATACTTACTCATAAGGACTTGCAAAAATTCTGCTCATATAAAATACATCAATATAGACACCGTTGCCTGTCCAAAACACCTCATACCCTTCAGCACCTGTTGTATTGCAATCCACTGTAAGTTCTGATCCTATAAAATTGTGTTACAGAATTAAAAGTTAATTTCCATACTCTTAAAGTCTACACAATTTTGTTCACAGACAAGCCTTTCAGAACAGTTATTCTAACAGAGTCTATATATTCAAGTGATCTGCAGGTTCAGAAAGAAACTGGTAGGATGGAAGAGGTTAAACCCAAGAAGAAGATGCCTCTGTCTTGGGCATCACTTTCCCTGCAGATTCAAAGATGGATCTGCTCTGAGAATATCTTCCAGAGTGATGGGAAGCAACAGATGTGACAGAGAATCACTTGGATTCCCTACAATTTTCTTCATATCTGAGAAACTCCCAAGGACTTTGGAAGCAACATGCCTTGTTTCTTTCCCTCTCATCCCAAACTCTTCCTTCAGTAGATCAACATAGAGAAACTGAGCTGGTGACTGAACTAGTTGTCAAAAAAAAAAAGCAAAGAAACACAGAATAGGGCATTCCACAGGTATTAATTTTCACTGGAACATAAAATAATGTTTTCTTGTAGAGAAAACTACTTACCAAGTTCCACTTCAATGGAGTTGTTTCTTGGATAAGATATTTCAGGCGGCTTTTTTGGTGGGCTAACTAACCAAAAGAAGAAAAGTTCTTTTCAGAAAACCTGGGGCTGTAGACTGCTTAATGCTCTATAACCCAAGTACAAGCTAAAAAAACCCCATCCTATGGAGAAGGTTGTCAGCAATTTTATAACAGATGTCACTCAATACTGAAAGTACTGTATCTCAGACAGTCGTTACTTGATGCTTACTATTGAAGCTATGCTCTAAATCTTCCAAAATCTAGTGCCACAAATCTCCACACACTCATGGTGGCCTACCTGTTCTGCAGCATAAATATCCAGTAATATTGCATGCACAGGTGCTGAGAAGAGTATGGGTAAAATATCTACAGCATTACCCTTCTATAGTCTGAGTAGCCTGTGATCCAAAACCCTACAGATACGAGCTGCGGGCAAATACTTAGGAGTGCAATTAAACTATATCAGACATTTGCTATTATAAAAGCAAAATTTAATCTCTATACTCCATTTAAAGGCTTTACATTTCTTCCCACAGCACTGTCTATACAGAAGTAAAACACCAATGGCCCCCTTTTTAGATGTTTACATTAGGACTAGATACATGACAAGCTGGAAAGCTTATTTGTCTCAACAGGCTGCAAAGGCAGAGTAATCAACAGATGGAGATCTAGATACCTACATTAAAATGTCTCTGTGGCTAAATAAAACCCCACCTTGGAGGATGCCTCACTGAACACACGTACCAATTGCAGCTGTCTCAGGCAGCTGCAAGACATTTTAGAACATTTCCTATCAGGTATTCGAACTTCAAGATAATTTCTCCAAAAGTACAAATTAACAAAAAGAAATCACAAAGTGTCTCATTTGAGTCCCCTAGGG